GGCCAAGTGCAGTGGGCTCACACCTTTAATCTCAGAACTTTGGGAGGCCAAGGTGGGAGGATCACTTGAGGCTAGGAGTCCAAGACCAGCCTGGGTAACATAGCAAGACCCCATCTCTAAAAAAATAAAAAACATTATCCAGGTGTGGTGGTGCATGGGAAGCTGAGGGAAGAGGATCACTTGAGTCCAGGAATTTGAGGCTGCAGTGAGCTATGATTATGCCACTACTCTCCTGCCCGGTCAACAGAGCAAGACCTTGTCTCTTGGAAAAAAAAAAAAAGTCTTCAAATGGGAAATAATAAATGAATATATAAATTGTCAAATTACCTAGTTGAGCAAATGATAGTTTGTTAATATATTATATAAAACGTGACCTTATTTCCTAAATGATTGGTTCAAATATTTAACAACTGACATACAGAATTAACTGAGAGACTGAAAGATCATAAAATCTTAAAATTTTAGACCTTGAAAAAGGTTACACAGGTCATTTATTCCAGCTCCTGTACTATAGATGGGAAAATTGATTCCCAGATAAGTCAGATAACTTGTCTGTGGTCATACAACCCTCCAGTGGTAGAGCCAAGAATGGAACTCAGCTCAACTGGCTCCCAGGCTAGGGCTTTTTCTACTAAAGCAAAAAAGGCCAAAAAACAAAAAGTAATTTCTTGTGACACAATCCTATAAATAGTTTGTAGATGGTCTTGTTAGTGTATAAAAGAAAATTGTCAAACAGCAACGAAAGGAGTTTCCAAATTTGAATCCCCTCCACCGAATTACTCTATTCCTAGTTGCAAAGAATTTCAAGATGCAATCATTAATGACATGCAAGAATTAATTAGTTCAGCTAACACAACTTACTTAAATAACACTATGAAGACTGAAAATGCTAAAGTGTATCTGGAAATAAGTAAAATCATCAATCTTACCAAGCTTAGATGTATTATTAAATACAGGTCAGAAATTCTAAGGCAGCTAGTATTTCTGGAATATATTGAATTTCCTAAATCATCTTCAAATGTTATTAAGTTTATCTCCTATCTAGAGACAAATACAATATTAACTTCCATGGAGAAAAAAGGAAGATAATAATTGCTCCTAGGAAAAATTATATTTTAAGAGAAAATCACTGAATCACTGGAGTAGACAAGCAATACATTTTGTTGACGTGCATTAGGAGTTTATTTGCTTTCAATCTTATTAAAAAACAAAACAAATCCAAGAAGCAAAAAAGAAAATTTCCTACTGGGTTTTTGAACAATGAGATGAAGTCAGGTTTGTGTTTCTTCAGAATCATGTCGAGAAGGTGAACAGCTTCAGGTTGTCTTCTCCAAAGAGCACTTCCCACTGTTTGCCAAATGTCTTTGTAAGGACCCCACAGACTAGCAGCTGAAAAAAAAAATAAAACCAGCATCAAAAACTGGGTAAAACACACAAAACAGTACCTGGCATATCACAGGCACTCAATAAAGGTATGTGCCTTTCCTTCCCTCCCTGTCATCCAAATGAAAAGCTGGACTAGGAAAGTACACAGATTTTAGAAAACTGAGAAGCTGAAAAAATGTACTTTATTTTGGCTAAGGCACTAGCTATTAAAAAAGAGCATATGGAATACTTTTATAAACTCATATAAAAAGGATCACATCTTAATTCATAAATGTAATAACAATAATAGGTAATACTTAATGAACGTTTGTCATGTGCTGCTAAGAATGGTCCTAAGCTCCTTACATGTATTATTATATCTCATTAACACCCTATGAGGTCAGCATTATGTCTTCTATCATTTTATATATATGAAAATTGAGGCAGAGAGGTCAAAACACTCACCACCCAAGGTCACACTTGATAAGCAAGACTTGAACCCACGCAGTCTGGCATCGCTGTGTAACCTAATCACTAAATTATATTGCCCCTGTACATAATCCTTGGAATGTGAAAATGTTTGAGGAGATGAATTTAGGTATTTCAGAAATACCTGGTAAATAGTCTGGTAAGTAGAGAAAGACACACCTAGGCTAATTCATCTAAACTCAGGAAACTGATTTACCTAAAAATATTTAAGCTCCAAAAATGAATAGTAAGGTATCACAGGGGATAGGAGAAACAATCCCAGTCTTTAAAAAGTTCACAATCAAGTTTGGTAGACGAAATGTACATAAGTGAAATGTTTCAATAACAATACAAAAAAGAAATATGATTTTTGCCACAAATAATGTAAGAATTTCAAAAGGTCAAAATGATGATCAAAGATTGCTAAGGGGTGGCTGCACTTGTGCAGCATTTGAAGGATGGGAAAAATCTGGGTGACAAAGAACAGACAAGGCAAAGTGTGAGCAAAGGCTCAAAAACAGGTGTAAAAAGTGTGAAAGACAATTCACAGAGCAGTAGCAAGATTAAAGAGGTCAGAGTGGGGGCTTTCAAAATTTTTGATTGCAAACCATAGTAAGAAATATTTCATATCTCAAGCCAGTATATACATATGCAAAACTGAAACAAAAGTTTTATATAAAATACTAATAGTCATTCATTAATTACATTCAATGAACTCTGATATTTTATATTTTGTTCCCTCTTTTTGTTGGGGGGCCCACTAAATTGATTTTAGATCCACTATTTAAAAAATACTACCCTAAAGCCCAAGATTTCTGTTTGGAAATAATCAGATACAGTACCCATATGTGTTTATAAAGACTCTGAAAGGGAAACTAGTCAAAACCAATCAATTAATTACTCAACAGATGAAACTTCGAACTAACTATAGCCTAAATTTTAAAGGATGGTCTATAAACATGTTAAAATGTTATCTGAGAAAACCCAAATCCAAATAAAGTTACCAGGACAGTAAGAATGGCATGAAACATAACCATAACATAATTAAATGCATTATAACCCAATGAACATACTGAGAAATATTTTTTAAAGGGGGGATGTGCAGGGAGAGGACAGATTAAACCAGTCGAGCGGAGCATCCATTAATTCTTTCATTCACTCAACAAATATTTCCTGAGGGCCTTCCATGTACCATGAACTACAGACTGAACAAGACAGACAGGATCCCAGACCTCATGGAACTTACAGATTGAGAAGAAAACATTAAATGTAGAATCCAAAAAACCATTATCAGTATAATAAAGAGTATGATGAAGTACAGAGTGCTATGACAGCATATAAAAGGGAGAACCTGAACTAATCTGAGGATCAGGGCAGGAGATGATATGTTAGGTCTTCGGTGTGTAGATATCGGAGAATGGGAATCAGCAAATATTGAGACCTTTCTTACTTAAAGAGATCATCCAATTCCCTGCTTTGCTTCTCCTGCTTTGATCTCATATTTGCCAATCTTCTGATTTAAAATACAGTTTGTCATATAAATTTCTAGGATGAAGAATGTACTGAAAAACCAACATGAGTACCCATGCAGATATACTTCCCACTAAAGATCAATAAACTGGCATGCTAGTTTATATATCTGTCTTTTCCAAATTTGATTAGAGAAAAATCAATGAATGGGACCTAATCAACTCTGGACACACTGACAAAAATCAGATTTCTGGGCCTGCCAAAATGAGGACCTGACTCTAGATTCTGGTGACTAGATGACTTCCCTCAGGATCATTTCCTTGGCGCTCTCTAACTGCAAAGGATAGAGTAGACATGAGCCTTGGATTCCAGTGCCAAGATAAAAATTTTCCCATTAATAAATGAGAAAGTTTCCAGTACTAGATGACAAAATGAAATTGGCATTGTAGGATAATCGTGTTCTAGTGTGACTGACAGACTGGAACAGGAAGTGTTAGAAACAAGAACAGGTAAGCCACTCATAAGATGATGGAGCCTAAACTAGGATGAAGGCAGTAAAAGAGGAAGGAAAGGCCTGTTAGTAGAAGACAGGAGTCAGAATTGGTAAACAAATGGCACAGGGTATAAAAGGAAGGTATCAGAAATGACTCCTAGGCAAATCTGAAATATACCTCACCACAGTATTTCAGAAATGTGATAAAAGAGCTGACCAAAGTTGGCTAGGCATGGTGGCTCACACCTGTAACCCTAGTACTCTGGGAGGCCAAGGCAAGAGAAGTGCTTGAGCTCAGAAGAGTTCAAGACCGGCCCGAGCAAGAGTGAGACCCCCATCTCCACTAAAAATAGAAAAATTAGACGGGTGTGGTAGCATGCGCATGTAGTCCCAGCTACTTGGGAGGCTGAGGCAGTAGGATTGCTTGAGCCCAGAGTTTGAGGTTGCTGTGAGCTAGGCTGATGCCGTGGTACTCTAGCCTGGGCAACAGAGTGAGACTCTGTCTCAAAAAAATAAAATAAAAAAATATAGCTGACAAAAGTTAATATTCATCCCTTAAAAGTAATATTCAATATACAATAGGATCTCTGAAACACTAATAAATTTCCTTGTACTATACATACTTAGTGTAATAAGGTCAATGAGTTGTAGAGAAAAATTCATTTTCCCCCCATTGCAGGAAGGCACCCCAAAACAGAACAAAAATCCTACACAGAAAAAAAACAAAAAAAATAGTATACTAGCCTACTTAGTCCATTATTAACATAAACATATCACCAAAGGTAACTGCAGCAAATAATTATCCTCAGTCTGTCTTCAGTTTGACTAATTTTAGTAAATATCTTCTTACTAATTACAAATTAAAAGAGACTATAAACTTTTCAAAATTACTAAATATGTTTCTTAACATGTATGTAGTTTACTCACTTGAGAAATATATGTATTTTCCTTAACGTTTAGGGATACCTCCAGCAAGTCACATTTATTCAGTCATTCATCATGTATGAGGTACTGGTGAGCTTACAGTGCAGTGAGGAAACATATTAGTCATATAATCATACATAAATATAATATCAAATTGTGGTAAGTGCCATGAAGGAGAGGTACCCAGGGCAAGAGATCACATAACAGGGGAATCTGACCTAGCCAGAGAGGTCAGGGGAGGGAAAGGTTCCTTGAGGAAGTGATGATTAGGCTGAAATCTGAAGGATAAATGTGGGAGATAACTGAGGGGTGGGAGGTGAGGACGTGTATTGCAGGAAGAGAGGACAACATGCAGGTTCCTATGGCAAGAGGGAACACTGCACTGTCAAAAGAACTAAAAAGGCTAAGAAAACAGGAGTACAGAGAACAAGGGTTTGGCAATGTCGGTAACTGTCACACCACACAGGGCTTTCTAGCCCATTTAAAGGATTTGGGGGCCAGGTATGGCGGCTCGTCCCTGTAATCCCAGCCTTTGGGAGGTTGAGGCAGGAGGATTGCTTGAGGCCAAGAGTTCAGTATCAGCCTGGGCAACACAGCCAGACACCATCTCTACAAAAATATAAGAAAAATTAGCTGGTCATGGTGGTGTGCAGCTGTAGTCCTAGCTGCTCAGGAGGCTGAGGCTGAAGGATCGCTTGAGCCTAGAATTTGAGGCTGCAGGAAACTATGATTGCACCACTGCACTTCAGCCTGGGTGACAGAGTGAGACCCTGTTTCAAAATCAATCAAGCAATCAGTCAATGAAGGATTTTGGTCTTTACCCTGAAAGATGAAGCAAGATGAAGATTTAAAATGTCTGCTGGACTCTGTGAAATAGAAGAACACATTAATCTTATTGAGAACTGTTTATGAGACTAGGAAGACTAGAATGGGTAGAGGAATAAGAGTTATGAAAACGGACTCAGTGACTACTGACAAATCTTTCCAAAGGTTTGAATGTGAATAGGGGAGAAAGCACAGTAATTGGAGTGAAGAATGAGATCAAGATAAAGAGGTGAGTTAGTGGAGAGAAAAGGAAGAGCAAAAGAGAGATAAATATACAAGGCAGAGAAGGGGTAATAGATCAGGAAAAGGACATGAAGGGTAGAATTGACCCTAGATAGGAAAACGGAGCAAAACTAATTCAAAAGGACGCAGATATATCTAGAATTGTACGTGTGAGGATGAAAAAATAGAGTTCATGCCTATTGGTTTCTATTTTCTCTGTGAGTTTACGGGGTCAGTTGGAGGTTAAAGATTTGAGGAGTGTGGAAAAGTCTAAAATCATCGCTGCCATAACCAGGACAGAGGTGACCAGACTACCACAGGACTGTCAAGCAGTGTTAATGGCTGCTTATTCACCAGAAGCCTGTGAGAGTATCTACTCAGCAGGGATGATACAGGTCACAATACTTGGAAGTCATGTAGCTGAAATTCAAGCATAGGTCTTAGAACTCTACAACCTCTATTTTTTTTTCCTCTACCACTGTAAGATGTTTAATTTTTTAAAGCTGTGGTTTTAAAAAAGCACACATACATAACATGGAATATCATCTTAACCCTTTTTTAAGTGTACAGCTCAGTAGTGTTAAGTATTTAACATACTCACATTGTGCAACTGATCTCCAGACCTTTTTCATCTTGCAAAATGGAAACTCTATACCCATTAGACAACAATTTCCCATTTCCTCCTTTCCCAGCCTCTGGCAACACACTATTATACTTTCTGTTTCTGTGAGTTTGACTACTTTCCATACCTCACATAAGTGTAATCATACGGTATTTGTCTCTTGTGAATGGCTTATTTCACTTAGTATAGTGTCCTCAAAATTAATCCATGTGGTAGCATGTGATAGGATTTCCTTCCTTTTAAAGGCTGTATAATATTCCACTGCATGTATGTCACATTTTGTTTATTCATTCATTCATCATTCATTCATTGATGGACATTGGGTTGCTTCCCTGAGATGGTTAATTTTTTAAAAAAATATTCTCCTGACTCTTGGCTTTTAAAAATGTTTCCTATGTTGCCAATTAAACTCTCCTGCCACAAAGGTTTATAATACAATATATACCCTTTGCAGCTGTTGGCAACTCCTTTTCCCTTTTGCTTCAATGATTTGTTTAATGATAATAACTTGGGATGAGTATGTACTAAAGAAATATATATAACCACACATAACATGCAAGACTTGCTTTTAAGTACATCTAGCTGGGAGGGAGGGGGAGCAATATTAAACATGTAATAGCATTACTAACATTAAGAACATTCAGATATATAAAATATATAAAAATCTGATGCCATAAAAATGAATTAGGTTGTGCTTAAGTAGTAGCATGCATGCAATAGTTTAAGCACCTAAAACTGGCTTAGAATCATTAAGTGTTTGACTTTGGGGAAGTTACTTAACCACTTGAACCCTTTATTTCCAAACTTGTAAAATCGGATATTTAATAGCAGCTACTTCACAGGTGTACAAAGGGGACTGAATGAGATAATGCAAACACACTTAGTCCAGTGCTGGGACACAGTAGGAGTTCAGTAAACATGGCCTTCATTATTATAAAGTAATTTATTATAGTGTTTCTGAAATAGCTTTATTTATAAAACGCAGATTTAGACTTTTCAAGTATATCAGTCCTTTACAAAGTAGAACAAATCAATACAAAAAAAAAAAAGATTGCATAGAGACAGAAAATGCACCCAGGTAAGTTAAGAGTCCTCTTGAACAACTTGTAGATTCTCTACAATCATTTACCACACAAATATTCTCTTAATTTTGCCTGGGAATTTAAGTGTATCTCAAGTGAAGTATTAACATTCTAAGCAGGAAATTCTTTTTCAGGACTGTTCCTCCCGGTGCAGGACTTTTGGCTTCCTTGCCCCGCCTACCATGCGCCTCCAGTATATCCCAGGAAATGTGACAATCAAAATGCACCCTCTCTTTCAAACACCCATGGAGGGCGGTAACGCCCCGAGTTTATAAGCACCAAGAAGGGCTCCACCCCAAATTTTCCAGAGTTCCTTTACTCCCTTCCAGATTCCACCCTACTCCGAAAATTTACTGCTCCAAAAGTACGGGAGTATCTACGGCCGGACCACACCCGCAGACCTGGGAGACATTTGCTGAGCGCGCGACACTCCCCTCCTGGCCACCTTCTGGATGGCAGACTTCATAATCGGGGGTACTAGCTGCCTACAAGACCCCCACCCCCACCGCATGAGGAACCCCAGTGCCTACTTTGACGTGTGAGTTTTCAGCCTCCTCTCGTAGCTGAAAAATATCTCAGGTCGTATGGCCGCATTGCCAGAGACCTGACGCATATCCTGCCAAAATCCGGACAGCACACTCACGGTGTGATTGGAAGTGAGAGGGACCAGGTTCATCCCTGGGCCGCGAGAGATTACACACCTGGTTCCAGCGGACCAAGCCCTCACCGTCTCGACTCTCTAACCCCAACTCAAGGGCTAGAGCCTCAGCGCCGAAGCGCGCCATTCAAACTGGGGAGAGGCGGGACTCTAGGCCCAGAGGTAAAAAAAAAGCAGACACTGCGCACAAGTGGGGATCTGGGCTTCGAGAAACCTCATAGCCCGGGATTCTCCTTGAAGAACCGGTCACCGCTCTGCCCCATCGTTTCTCTTCTGCCCGGCCGCACTTACCCGAATTTACCGCCAACAGCGTCGCCATCTTGGAGGCGCACTAACGGAGCCCTTCTGCCGCATGGAGGCCCCAAGAAAAGGAGAGACTGCCCTGGGCGAAGCCTGAGCAAAACGATACCACGCTATCCCCTCCGAAAGGCGCGGTCTGGCCGACCCAGGCGTACAAAAGACTCCCACATCTGCTCTGGGTCACAAACATCAATTTTCCCTGGCATTATTCCCATTCAAATGAGGCGAGGGCAACCAGGTCAGAGATTCGAGGTCCTCGCTTTGACGTTCGTCGTGCAGTGCATCCTGGGACTGGTAGTTTTTTTTCTAATGATGGGTGAGGTTGGTTAGGTGGAGTGGGAAAAGATGTTATAGGTAGAACAGAAAAAAGTATTCTGAGACTATTTATTAAAATAATGCCCACTTATGATGCCACAAATTCAAATCACCTCCATTTGAAATTGAATCTTCCTTGCATTAGTCCCTTATATTGGAGAGTGGTGGGGGGTGTAAGGTGTCTGCACCTCAAAAAGCCATTTGACCTAAGTTTCCATGACATTTCAATTTACCAAGTGTATTGTATCAACATAGTTACACAGAGCGAAACAAATCACAATTTTTTATTATTAAATATTCAGGGCCAGGCGCGGTGGCTCATGCCTGTAATCCCAGAACTTTGGGATGCCAAGGGGCGGATGGGGGAGGATCGCTTGAACCCTCGAGTTCGAGATCAGCCTGGGCAATAGCAAGATCCCCGTCTCTACAAAAAATAAAAAAATTAGCCAGGCGTGGTGGCCCGTGCCTGTAGTCCCAGCTACTCCAGAGGCTGAGGCAGGAGGATCGCTTGAGTCTGGGAGTTGGAGGTTGCAGTGGGCTGCGATCGCACCACTGCACTCCAGTCTAGGCGACAGAGTGAGACCCTGTTACAAAAAAAAAAAATACCAAATTAGAATAATGAACGCCCACCTTCAATAACATGGCCAATTTCCCTTATCCCTACGCACAGATTATTTTAAAGCAAATTCAAGACATAATTTATAATCACCGAGTACTTTTCTACCTATTAACACCCAAAATAACTGACCCTCTTTTTTTCATTTGTTAAATTTTAGCTTGCTAATTTTCAAACTAAAAAAAATAATCATTACCACTTACTGTCATATACCAGATATCTATTAAGAATTTTACATGCATTATCTTATTTAATCCCTGCAATAATTTTATTAGGGAGATGACATAACTGTAGCTATTTATGTCAGAGATGCTCTGTGTGCCTTACAGTCTCATTTTATCAATTCTCTGACATTTTACTGAGAGTGAAAGGAAATAGGGCTTTATTCCCATCTCACTGTTGAAAATCAGACTCAAATAATTTAGACAAAATCATAGCATATGTTATTAAGAATATCTGGCATATTCATTCTTTTGAACAAATAATATCAAGTGACACAATGTACATTAGGTGAAACACAAAGTCACCGGTGATTTTTTTTTTGAAAGTCGTTGTATAGAGACAAATGCTAAACTACAATGAAAGTGATTTTAAGGAGTGAAGAGGGGAAGAGAGAATGAAAAGGCAAAGGGATTTTTCATGAAATTTATCATGAAGGTGAGAAGAATATTGAGTGGGAACTTGACAGGAAGTGGCGTTCGAAGGTTTTCTTTCTCCGCATAACTATTACAAGCCTTACACACACAGGCTTTTAAGTCCACACACTTTCCTCTCAGTAGATCACTTTGCTTTCTATGAAGGAACTCTTTAACTTGGCAGCAACCCCCTCACCCATGGTTACACGTACAAGCATTCTCTCACAGGATTCCTCAGGCTCTAGCAATCGGGATATTGCTATCTAACCCCTTCTAAAACTGCTGTCAGAATGGTCACCAGTGATCGACTGTCAAATTCCTTGGGCACTTTATTTCTGCATTATGAAAATTACTGTGGCTTGTAGGACACCACCACTCCTGGTTTTCCTCCTATCTTTCTAGTTCTTCTTTTTATTATAAGTCTCCTACATGAACTTCTGTTCCTCTTCTCACCCACTAACTGTAGCTCTTCCCTTGTGGTCATCCCCTGGTTTCTGTCCTTTCATTCTACATGCTTCCTCTGGAAAATCTTATGGGTTCTTACTACCATCTGTTGCTGATGAATTATTATTATATCTCTAGCTCAGTCCTCTCTACTCCATCTCTCTATTGATTGGAATATAGGCATCTCAGAATCAACTTGTCCAAAACTTAAATTATCATTTATCCCCTAAAACTCTGCCATCTGTAGCCACCCAGTCGCCAAAGTGAGAAACCTGGGAGTCATTCTATATTTCTCCTTCAATTGCCAAATCCTGTTCATTCCACCTTATAAATATTTCTGGAACTCTTTTTCTCATCTCTGCTCTCTATGCCATTTTTCTCTTTAGGTCTCATGTCACACTTGGTATTTTATATGATAGCTTTCTCACTGGTCTTTCCATCTCATCCTCCTCTCATGGACTCTCAAAGTGATTTTTAAAAATACAAAGCTGATCGTGTGCTTGCCCTAATCAAAATTTCTCAATGATCTTCTATTACTAAGAGCATCATTTCAAACTTCTTAGCAAGGCACTTCTGACACTTCCTGATCTGATTCAGCTTCATTCTTCAACCTCTTCATCCATACTCTTCCTCAAGAGCTCTTTAATCATTCTGAACTATTCATTATCTCCCAATGACAAATGCTTACTTGTACCAGATATCGATGCCTTCACACCTGCTCTTCTATCCTTTGGATTGACCTTCCTTCCCTCCCCCAACCTTTTTGACCACCCACCAAGTTAACCTCCAAACATGACCCACCTTCCAAATCCCAGGGTCTGTGCTAACGCTGCCTCCATGATGCTAGCCAGGATCCTCTCCCCCACAACCAATTTGGGGGTTTCTTTCCCTACAGCCCTATTATTGCACTTTTACCCACCTCTATTATGGCCCTATGTGCTACAACAATTGTCTCCTCACTAAAAGCTTATTTCTATTCCTTCTTTGTTTCTTTTTTTTTTTTAGAGACAAGGTTTCGCTCTGTTACCCACGTTGGAGTACAGTGGCATGATCATAGCTCACTGCAGCCTCAAACTTCTGGGCTCAAGCAATTCTTCCACCTTAGCCTCCTGAGTACAGGCATGTGCCACCACACCTGGTTAATTTTTTAAATTTTTGTAGAGATGGGGTCTCACTATGTTGCGCAGGCTGGTCTCAAATTCCTGGCCTCAAGTGATCCTTCCTCCTAGACCTCTCAAAGCACTGGGATCATAGGCATGAACTGCTGCCTAGGCAGTGAAAGCTAACAGTTAGCTTTCACTTTTTTTTTTTTTTTCCATAGGCGTGAAAGCTAACAGTTAGCTTTCTGTGGGAAACTGTTATTAAAAGCACCCCCCCGCCCACCCAATGACACACAGTTCCTTGAATTCAAGCCATTGTGTAATTATCTGCCACACTGAATCTAAGTTGGCCTTATGACTTGCATGGACCAGGAGAATGCAGAGGAAATCATGTTGGACAAGTTCTAATCCTAGGACTTAAAGGCCTTGTCACTTCCATTTTTCGCTCTTTTGCCCATGTAAGGGAACCCAAGCTAGCAAAGACCATGCATGAGGAGGGAGGTCTAACAAGCCCCTAGCCATTCCAGACATCCCAGCTGAGATGTCAAACATGAATGAGGCTATCTTGGATCTTCAGTACTAGTTGAGCCACCAGGTGACTGCAGATGCATAACTGAGGCCAGACAAGGTTGCAGACTTATGAGCAAGTAAATAGCTGTTGTTTCAAGTCACAGTTTTGTGATTTGTTATGCTCAAGAATTAACTGATACACTCCTGGAAAACAACAGCTATGGCTTTTTATCTTTGTATTCCCTGTTACTACCACATCTCTGACTTGCAATTACAATTCAGAAAAATAATTTGCAGAGCGTGGTGCTTCCACTGTCTACTGGAAAAGAGAGATACAATTGTGGTTAAGAGCACAGACCTTAAACCCAGGCTTCCTGGATTCAAATTCTGTTTGAGTCACTTATTAGCTATGAAACCCTCCTCACTATCTCAGTTTTTCCTCTGTAAATGGGATGATATTAGAACCTATATCATAAGGTTAAGAGGCTTATTTGTAAAGTCCTGAAAATGTGCTGTATGTTTGTTAAATAAAAATAAACTATTTTTATTTTTTTGAGAGGGAGTCTTGCTCTGTCACCTGGGCTAGAGTGCTGTGGCATCAGCCTAGCTCACAGCAACCTCAAACTCCTGGGCTCAAGCAATTCTCCTGCCTCAGCCTCCGAAGTAGCTGGGACTATAGGTGCATGCCACCGCACCTGGCTAATTTTTCTATTTTTAGTAGAGACAGGGGTCTCACTCTTGCTCAGGCTGGTCTACGAACTCCTGACCTCAAGTGATCCTCCCGCCTTGGCCTCCCAGAGTGCTAGCATTACAGGTGTGAGCCACCATGCCCGGCCCAAAAATAAACTATTTCTAAGGCAAAATAAGTGTAAATGGAGGTATACTTAATTACTTGAGACAAATTTAACCAAGTTGTTAGAGTGCACTACAGACATGGAAGCACTCAGCAATTAAACAGTTGTTTCCCAGTCTAACTGATCCATTATTGGTAACTTCCTTCATTGCCCCAATTAATTGACTTTCAACTGTATACACAAAGTTCTTTAAGATCTTAAAACAAGGACAGCTAATTCTCATTTGGAATCAGGAAAATGAAAATTAGGGAAAATTACATGAAGTAAGTGGCATGTGAATGAAGAGACGATAGGATTTTACATGGTCATGAAAGTGTGTGGGGAAGAGAGAAGGGGAACAGACCGGTGAAAAAGTGATAAAGCCAAGGTTTGGTATTTACAGAGCTGCAACAACTCCTCTGGACAAAGCTTAGAAATTTAAATGTTTCAGGTTCTGTAATTTTCCATATGCTGCCAAGTGGAGGACCCCAGACATGACAGGTTCACATTATGTTTTGCTCCCCATTCAGTGGCCAGCTGTGGGCCACAGTTGCAGAATCACTGGCCTTGGAAT